ATTTTTTATTTTATTAAATTATAATTATGAAATTAATTGATTATAAATATAATAATAATAAATAAATAAAATAATTACGTTTATAATTTAAAAAATAAATTATGGTTTTTAGCTTGAGGTAAACCCCCTAGCTAATATTATATACTATGCACGCTTCCCCTGCACACTCTCTGCGTTTACTAAGCGCCTGCTGCAAAAGTAGGATGGTATTTAGCTAGGGGTAAAGCCCCTAGCCAATGGCCAATCATATTTTGCCTTTAGCGAGGGGTTTAGCCCCAAGCTAATTGGCTAGGTGCTTAGCCCCTCGCCCCTAATCTGCGACCAATGATTTAGCTAGGGGTTTTGTCCCCTCGCAAATGTTGACTTTGTGAGGTGTTTTTTGCCTTAGTGAGGAGTTAAACCCCTAGCTAAAGGGCTTTTTTCTTGTAGTGTCATAATTGCTATTAAATATGCTAAAAGAAATCTTCAGCTTTAAGTTAATTCAATGTTGGTCATTCGTGCATTTTCTATTTTTAATACAGTCCATTAACATCCTTTAATAACATAGAATAATATTTTACACACTATACGCTCCTTAAGATTCAAGATATCTCACATTTTTATAGAGGAAAATGCCTGTGCATATAAATTAGTCAATGCAACTTTTTTATATTTTGAATGTTTTTTTGAGAGATAGGTTAGTCATTTCCAGATATCGTTTTTGTTTGCTTTTTTATGAGTTAGATTTTATGTCGCCTCATTCTTTTTGTTATTTCTTTTTTATTCTATAAACTACTCCTTTTGGTCCTATTTATAATAGAAAGTTTATTTCTTAGTTCATTGAATAAATAATGTATCTGTCATATATATTCTGATACATCAGTTATTCAATGTATCTAAAAAGTAATATTTTTCTTATAAATAAGATTGGAGGCGGTATCTTTATTGAATAAAAAAGGAAAAACAAAAAGATGAAAAAATAACACCTAACACATAAAAAATCTAGTAAATTAGATAGTTTAACATGTCTAACCTATCTCTCACGAAAATTTCAAAACCATAAATAGGAAGTAAATTTCATCAAGTATCGTAATCATAAAAAAAAGATCGAATTGCCCAATCTATATGCACATGCATTTCCATCTTTGAAAATGTAAAATATCTTGAATCTAAAAAAACTTATAGTATGTAATATATATTACCATGAAATTAAAAGATATTGAGGAACAATATTCACATTTGTAAATACATAAATGATCAATATTGAGTCTTTTTCACATTTGTAATAAAACATATTATATGAAAACTAATATGGTAGCACGTTTGGGATTGTGTTGCTTAGTGTGTGAGTTCAATCTCCTCCAGGCCAAAATTTGAGCTTTTCTGTATCAATAATTAATATCTCAATATTTTAAAATTAATAGCTCAACATTTTATTACATATAATTAATTAAATTGTATATGAAAATTTTGCACATGACACTTTTGAACTAAAAAATGATTATATAAATTAAGAAAATTTAGTAAATTTTTAAAAAAGAAAACATTAATTAAATTTAATCGAATTTCAAATATTAAATACAAAAATTGTTGAGTTTTTTAATTCTCTGACTGGTTTTTTTGTGTTGCTCAATTTATTAGGTATTAATAATTATTATTAAATTTAGGTTAAAAAACTGACTCTGCATTAATGGTACTTTCAAATTATTGAATCTAAATTAAATTTCTATAAAAAATATCTATTTACAAAACTTTTAATTGTCTTATTCATTACATGATAGGTATATTTGTCATTTTTATAATGTATATTGACACTTTTATCTTTTCTGCAGATGAAATTAGGGACGAGTAAAATATTTGATTGTGACACTTAAATTTTAAATATATAGATATGATTAAATAATTATTAACCAATTTAATTATTAATCGTTGGTTATTCATCAAAATAGTTCAGATATAATTAAATGATTATTGTTAACCGATTAAATAATTTTTGATTCAGTTATAATTTGTTTATTATCCAAAATTGTGATAACATCCTTCCAAACCAGGTGATTGTTATCATGTATAAGTGGAATGATACAATCTTTGAGTATATTGATTACAACATGATGAAAATGGTTAATATCACAAGAAAATATCACACACCATTCTAACTGAAATCTAAAACCCTTGAAAAACAAGCTAATTCGCACATAATCAAATAATTCAAACCATTCATTCTAATTATCTTTCTAAAAAATAGAACTTCTATATATGTTTTTATACTTTCTCTTCATATTATGTTGTTGCTTTGTTAAATATCATTGATTTTTTACTCTTGAGTGGGATTGTTTTTCACTCTTTTAAACTTGGAGTCTAATTAAATTGCAATTCCCATTAGCAAAACATAATATTTTCATATAGTTTTTGAGTGCGTTAATATAAAACTATATCATTGTTAGCGGAATTTTAATTTTTCTCCCACTTTTTGATCAATTAGCATTGCTTGCATTTCTATTTTTCTTCCATATTGAGCTATCCTAGCTTAATATCAGTTCTTAGTTTTGTTCTGTTCTTGCATGCACTCTTGTTGTCCAATGTTTTTTAGCTGGTCAACCTATCTATCTACTACTTTCCTTACATGTTTACCAGTTTTAATTTGTGTTCTAATAGGCATGGTCATCCAAAGGAGATTGTAAGTTCCCAAAGACCTTAGAAGAAGATTTGAAATATTTGGTTTTGTCCATGAGGTGTTTATTTCTTCCAGGGCCGGTCCAACACTCTAAGAGGCTTAAAGAAAATTTTAAATTGAAGTCTTTTATATTTTAATTAAAAAAATTAAATTAAATTATTATAATATTTATTTAAAATTTACTCTTCGAGCTTTTTGAGATGCAAAATTATTTATTAAACTATTGTAATCAATTTCATTTAACATTTCTTTTTCAATCGATAATAAAGCAAATCCATTTAATCTATGTTGAGACATTGTTGACCTTAGATAAGATTTTATTAATTTTAGTTTTGAAAAACTTCTTTCTGTCGAAGCAACAGTTACAGGAATCGTTAACATTATTCTATAAGCAATAAATACATTTGGAAAAGAGTTGAGTCTTATTATATAGTTAAGTATATCAATTGGGGTATCATTCTCAACATGTATGATTTCTCTTAATATTTTCAATTCTAAAAATAAGTCTAATCCATCAATATCAGAGTTATCGTTATGTTTTAACGAACATTCGAGGTTAAGACAATATTCTTTTAAAATTTCAATTTCCAATGACCTTAATTTCTCTATACTAAATAGAAAACCAAAAATGTTTTGATATATTTTAAATTGTTCAAATCTACTTCGAAATGATGTAATTGCATGATCTAATATGTACAAAAAATAGTCAGATTTAAATGATTCTTCAAGAGTTTTTAAAACTTCATTGTCAATAATCTCATCAAATTGTCTCTTTCTACGAATAATACGTTTTTCACGAAACTTAGGTTCTATATCCATTTCGGTAGCAATTTCTTTAGTCGAAATTATGGCATTTTCAAAACCATATTCTCTGTATTTTTCGAAAAAAGAAATAAGCCCTTTCAGTTGCTCTATAGCAACATCAATGCTCATATCCTTTGATTGAAAGTGTTTACTAACTGAGTTTACAGCGAACAATATTTCATACCAAATAGTCATGCCTAGCAAAAATTCAAAAATTTCAAGCTCATAAGTTGTCAAACATTCAGCTTCACTTTTTATTTTAGGTTCATCATTCATTTCACCTAATTTAAATAAAGCATCTCTTATTTGTGAAGTATGTAATCTTATAGCTTTTACACTTTCAATACGAATTTCCCAACGTGTTTGTGACAATGACTTCAAAGTAAGGTTAGGGATATGGTCTAGTAAAATTTTCCATCTTTTAGTAGAAGAAAAAAATATTGTATAAATACGTTGCACCACTCCAAAAAATGATGTAGCTTTGGAACAACAATTTGCCATATCACAAAGTACCAAGTTTAGACTATGACAACCATATGGTGTATAAAATGATCTAGGATTAACATCTAAAAATATTTTCTGAACACCTTGATGTTTTCCTTTCATATTAGAACCACTATCATAACCTTGTCCTCTTAAGTTAATAATATCAAGATCAAGTATATTTAGTTCATTCATAATAGCATCAAAAAGACCTTTTCCAGTTGTATCATCTACTACTAAAAATTCTAAAAAATACTCAACTACTTGTATCGGAGTTGAAGAAAAATCTACACATCGTAATACAATAGACATTTGTTCTTGATGACTTATATCAGGAGTACAATCAAGTATGATTGAAAAATATTTTGATTCCACAACTTTTTTTATAATTTTTTTTTTGATTTCATTTGCTAGCAAATTTATTAATTCATTTTGTATTCTATGTCCAAGATAATGGTTATGAATTTCATCATTTTTTATTCGACGAATGTGCTCTTGCATTAGAGGATCAAATTCTGCAATCATTTCAATTAGACATAAAAATTTCCATTATATTCTTGATAAATCTTTTCGTTTGTTCCACGAAATGCTAAGTTATTTTTTCAAGAGTTTTAACAACTGCAATGATTCTAAGTAATAAATTTCTCCAGTGCTCTCTTTCTCTATTAATTCTTTCTTGAACATTCTTGTCAATTGTTTTATGTTTTAATAATCTCATTTCTAAATCAATCCATGAACTCATATTAACAATATGCTCATTACTCATTTCATGACTCTTCAACTTAGCACTAATATTTCTCCAATCATTACTACCTTCATGTGCTAATTTACTTGTACTATGAAGAGCATTAAATAATTTACAACAAAAGCAAAACACTTTATCCAATTTTTGAGAATAAACCAATCATCTTCTTTCACGCTTCTCTTTGTTGGATAATTGTTGAATATAAAGTGATGAAGAAAAGTGTCTTGCATATGCATCCTTAGGAAAATCTATATCGGTAACTTTAATAGGACCATTTTCTACTAATAAATCTCTCAAATTTGTGTCAATAGTTGTTCATTGACTTGGGTCATATATATTTTTATGAGATGATTTTTCTAATACTTTTTCTCTATCTTCATTGTTAGTGTCAGAATCAATATTATCTTGCCTATTAACCGATACTATAATTTCATTATCACCCGCTATTCCTTCTCTATTTTCATTAGCATATATATTGTTAACTTGTTCATCAACTACCTCTTCTCGATTTTCATTTTCATCATGGTTTACATTATTAACTTGTTCATTCAGCGAACAATCACTATTATTTTCGATTTCACTTTTTTTGTTTGTCTTAACAAATTTGTCTAAATCCCCTTTTTGTGATTCAATCAAAGCTTCAACTCTTTTCTTTTTCTTGAGTTTCGAATAGCCCGATTCATATTTTCGAGTCGACATTTATATATTTTAAAACAAATGAACAATTCAATCAAATCTTGAAAGTAAATAAATAAAATAAACAATTAAAATAAAACTCTAAATAAGACTAAAATAAACAAACAAAATAAAATACTGAAATAAAATAAACAAACTAAAATAAAACTAAAGAAATAAAAGAGAATAAAAAATATAAAATAAACAAAACAAGTAGTAACAAAGAAAATAGAACCTGTTTGTCGATAAAAACAGAATAGAAGAAAGAACCGCTTATTTGCCGTCAATAAAAAAAACCGATGATTGATTGAAGATAGAGAATTAGAAAGAACTCAATAAACAAGAATAGGATAAAATGGTGTTTGCCTCTGTAGAAAATATTCAATTGCAGTTTGAGTGTTTGATATTGAAAGAAGAAGAAGAATCAGTTATTATTGGAACAATGAGATTTGTGAAAATATTAAATCAATTAATACTAATTATTTTAGAACGTTAGGATTGGAAGAGAAAGAGTCAAAAAAGTACAAAATTGAAAAAGTAATGACAGCTTTACGTGTCTGACTGGTAAACAAATTTATTAAAATTATTAAGTTAATTTAAATTAATTAATTGGGACTTATTTTTAGGCCTTAATATCTTTGATTTTAAAAATATATTTAGGGGCCTAAAGCCCTATCTTTACCAGCTTGGCCCAATGGCTGGCTCTGATTCCTTCGAAGTCTAACTAATCGGGGAGTAGATTTCGTTTTGTTAAGTTATAGGAGGATAATAACTTGAGAAAACTCCAATATAATCTTAGTGATGTATGACTTGGGATATTTAAAGTTCGGTTGACATGTAGAGGAGTACCAGTTTATAACAATATTATTTAAGACAGGAAATACTTTTGGTATGACGGTGGAGATAGATTCATGTACTCGTGTTAAAACTGAATTTAATGTGGGACAATGTTTACCGTTAATTTGAAAAACAAGCGATAGTTTTTCAAAAAAAATGTTACTTACATGATTGACTAGATGATCATACGACATATGTGCATAAAGTTTTATGAAGTTTGTATTATTTTGTACAAAGAGACAAACATTTCGACGTAGGCGAAGTCTAGAAAGTAAAATAACAGAGATAAAGTAAATATGTTTGAAATATGAAAGACTTCAACAATGACCGAAGAATGCATAAAAAAAACTTTAATGTAAAAGACTTTGAATTAAATGAAAATGGTGTTTGCATACTGTTTCTCCGCGAAATAATCACTAGCCTCTTTTTAAATGTTACTTGCAGGATCGGCTACAATAATCCTAGACTTAGTGTTTTGAGTGTTTTTTTAGTTGAGAAATGGTTTATAAAAGGTAAAAAGGCAAAAGATCAAGATAATTACAAAGTAGAGAAATTAAAGACAAGACTTGTAATTTCAAAGTAAAAATTGAAAATTTATATGAATTTAAATTTAGAAGCATTCTTATATTGTTAAGCCTAAAACTTGTTTCTCTCTTAGATGCATGTACTTTGAGTGTCATGCTCTAAATGTGGAGAAATGCGACCAACCATTCTATAAGACATGGTACTATGCATTGGAACTTTGATTTCACAAGAAACTTCAAGTTACATCTCAACCAAGCCATAACTTCATAACTTGCAAACTTGATTAGCCCTTGCTCTCAAAACTTTTTCCTATAAATAGAGAGGCCACTTGTAAGCCAATACACAAATTCAAAATCCTATAAACACTCTCAAACTCTCCCAAGTCAGAATTGGTGAAAAAAACTTCCATTTTTGAATCCTGAAGTCCAAATCTTTGAATCTCATCAATCTTGCAACTTCTGTGCAAACCAACCATCCACACACCTCGTATAAATCATATAGAAGTGAAATTCCGGGAATGTCACAGACTCAGAATGTCTAATGGAATGTTAAGACATCTGATCTGACATTAAGCGCTGTATAGGTAGAATAGGCTGTACTTTTGATATCTGTTCTACAACAGTCACTGGACTAACCTACCAGAGCCTGCAACACCTTTTGATAAATGCAGGTTCTGATTTACTGAAGTTCAGAACGGTTAAGGTTAATCATATACATTGATGTTACGAGGAATGCTGTGACATCAAATAACCAATGCAGAAAGTAAATAACACACATAATTGTTCGCCCAGTTCGGTTCAACCAACCTACATCTGGGGGCTTCCAAGCCAGGGATAAAGTTCACTATTAGTAGTATCAATTCAAAGACCCTACAGCCAACACACCCGTTGACAGCCTTCTCACTTAATCACTACCCAATGACACTTTTACCTAAGATCCAATCCTAGATATGAGACCCCTCTCACTCCCCCTCAATCACCGCAGTGATAACTTTCTACAGTACATAAACTGTTCAGAAGATACACTTCCATTACACATCTTGATCATGCTTAAAAGCTTCAATCAAGTACAATGCATACATCCTTTAACCTACAGGTTTCAAGGAGTATGGTGACCATCCCACAGCCCGGGTGGTTCACAACAAAACTAGCCCTAAATGATTACATCTTGTCAATCCGAGCCATGCTCCAAATTAGGTTACAATACTTCTATTTATAACACTTTTTACCCAACTGGATTTGGGCCTTCATATGACAGCAATGCAGCTTTAACGACCTGCATAAAGTAAGCAGAAAACTTCTGCTACAAGTTAGGTCTTCAATCGAGCTTTTCTCCTTATCCTTAGCTTCTGATTGAATCTTCTAGGGCTCCACGTATGCCTTCAATTTTCGCTACTTGTTATGCATTCTATTTGGCAGAATATTCTGCATAACTTTAGGAATAGAACTGCATCAGACTTGACAGTTCAGTAGCTTGATGTCTGGTATGATGTTATGACATCTCTTGAGACATGTTGATGTTTAGGAATTTACAATAGAATTTTCAGGCTGTTCCTATTGTACATTACATTACATTATTGTTGTTGCTATTTGTTTTACAAGAGATGAGCCAATCCCAAACGAAGGCACTTACAATCTCCCCCTTTGGCTAATTTTGGCTAAAACAAATACAACAATAACACTAACCATTCAGGACCTCTTGAAGCACAGGAGGAAGAGGATGCACCTCATTCCCTTTTAGACCACGAACCATTTCTTGTTACTGGTGGTGGAAAAAGAGGACCGTGGGAGATAAACTATCCTTTCAGAGGCATCAGAGAACCTTTAAGGAGTGACCAGAATATCTCCCTTGTAACTCAGAACACAGGTCACAACTGTGTTCATAACTCAGATCACAAGTCACAAAGAAATTCACGCCATTTGAATTTCTGCTGAGTTTGTGACAAGTCTTTGTGATCAAAATTTTGAGTAGCTGCTGCAACGAGGACAGTTTCTAACAGTACTCCTTTCTCCCCCTTTTTGGCCAAAAATTGCCAAAGAAAGCCCTCACAAAACCAGATCCAAGAACAGTTTTCCCAAATCCGTATAAACCCCATGATGGTTGTGAGAGAAAAGAATGTGTGGCAGGAGGTTATATAAGGAGATACCAGGTTCAAGAAGATGGTAATATAAAATCTTGGTCAAGGATACCTGTTAAAGCATGTGCATATTTCAGACTGACTGTGCATGTATTTTAGACGTATTTGTTTGTTTCAGCCAATACCACAAAAAGAACCAGTCCTAATACATGCATAAGTTTTGGTCAAAGCAATTCCTGAATAAAATCAGCCTTTGACCCATTTTCGGGACTGAAGATTTATTCCTTCTAGGAAACAGAATACCAATGACGTGGCAAAGTTATTTTCCCGTATTCTTCTTGATTTCCCCAAGGTTGTAATGTCGTTGGTAATGTCATGACACTTACTTAGACATTACCTTGCATTCTTCAACAACAGCAGCCTTCTTTTTACTTCTCTCATTTAGGCACAGAGAAGGGCACTTTAACCAGCTAGTAGCAAGAGATTAGCAGCATTAAGCATGGCCATCACTCATGCTTTGTGTTGCTGAGATCCAATACACCAGAAGACTCCAAAATGCTTCACAGGACATCACAGATTAGTTCTAATACACAAATTTAGATGCCACTTCTATTTCTTGTAGTAAAAGAACCCCTTGAACATATGCTGAATATATCTGATTTACTTCTTCTGATCTTCCATTCACTAGTAGTTGTTGGAGCTAGTGAAGTCTGATTTGCTAGACCAAGTTGCTATTGATAAGATCTGAATCTTCCAAATTGCTCCAAAAGTATTAAAACTGCCACTTATGATACTTTTAAGAATCTCTGAGATTTTCTTCCTAACCCCAGTCCAATAACAAGAGCAATTCTTCAATCTCCTGTTGTTGAGACATTATCCATGACTTCACTTAGAAGTTCACAATGTCATATTATCAGAACACATAAACATCAGCATACCAATGCCCTCTTCTGACTTCTGATCTTCAGATTAAGTCCAACAATACAGATACAGAGTCTCCCTTCAATGTATATTGTAATTGGGAAAAGTGCAACACTCAGTGACTTCCCTTGTTAAGGCCAATCAAAACAGTGGCGTGGAAACCAGTAGCACTAGCTCTGAGGTGGTAACTTCAAGCACCCTGAACTAGTCTTAGAATAGTAAGGACATCTCTGATTCATGCCCTTGCACTTCCACACTTATCATGACTCTCATGTAGCCATAGTCTGAGACCAACCTCCAACCTTCTTAGTGTGCTTACAAGCTTTGCTAAGATTTAGACTTTCTAGAATGATTATCCTTTGATCATGTCATCCTTCTGTATAATATATTTACTAGTAGTTGCTAATACTAGTAAATTCTTCAGACCACAACAGTAGTTATGCGTTGTTAAGCATACTACTTAAACACAAGTAGAATCTACTTATTCCAAACCAACAATAGAACTGCCACACTAGAATATTAAGATTCGCAGTCCCAAGTCTCTGCCACGGACTTCTAACAGTAAATGATGTTACAGCATGAACCTATCTGCTTGGATTTTGAGGTTAACATCCAGGGGATTGATGCCCTTTTATATTCCCCATAAGAAAGGTATGATTACTCA